GGGTGAGATGTTTGAAGTTGCAGCAAAAGATATGACGTTCGAGATGCAATCTTCTTATCCGGGTCTCCAAGTTTGTTGACCAGAAGTCTCAGCAAATTCGCTTCTTGCTCTGGCTTCTCCTTTAAGAGTTCATAAACGTAAGTAACAGCTCGGGTACGAGCATACAAAACCTCGTCATTACACCAGCCTTCGAGAACTTTTAGCATTTCGAAATATGATTCCTTTAACCAATCTTCATATGCCCAAGAGATTAGGTGTGCTTTCGTTATGTCTCCTGGCAATCGGTGACCAGGTTGCCAGTTGGTGATTAAATCTTCTTGCAGTGTACCTAAAAGACCTGGTTGGTTCGCAAATAATCGAAGACGTCTATCTGCAGGTAGAACAACGCCATTGCCCAACAAATCCTTCAGCGCACCTAGTGCACTGACAGCTTGTGCGCGACTCCGTTTCTTGGCCAGCGTCAAAAGAGTTTCGAAAGATTTTAAAGTGTGTACTGGGGACTCTTGGACAACTAAAGTCAGTGCTGAGACTTTATCGGACAGTGTTCCAGAAGCCATAATAGTCGAGAGGAAACGGTGTGAAGAAGTGGAAGAGAGGTTCTTGGAGGCATAAAGAGTGCTATCTGCCTCTAGCAAGGTTTTAGCATAATCCTTGAGGTTTTTTAAGGAAGTAGCATATTTCTGCGAATCGCTGATCTTTCCGGCTGGAAGGTCTGGTAAAGGAGCAGCATGCCAGTCAGGTCGTGCTTCAAAGACCTAGCTGGAATCAGTCAGTCTAATCATTTGGTGCAGGAAAATACTTACGAGTCGATTTGGGTCTTTCGACGAGGGTGTCTCTGCGGGTGTAACCTTTAGGTTCTTCTTGACTACCTCAACCTCCTCGATTGCTTCAGAAGGATCAGATTCGACATCTGACGCCTCTTCCCATTCGCCTTCTCCATCCACCACTTCTTCATGGTCGCCCTCTTCTTCATCAGACTCGCCAGTATCTGCTCCGGTCTGTCCCTCGATTCCAAGCCCTGCCACAAACTTTGCTAGTTCCTTTTGTAATGTTTTGTCTGGCTGAGGGGTAGATGTTGTCGCATTATCTTCCTCGTCCGATGCCGCGTCTGCCACCAAGTCTAGATCCTCCTCTGTGCCTCCTAAAGCCAATATCTCCTGGAGCAATATGGAGCGCGCATCATCACTGGTCGCTGTCTTCTTATTTTCCTTTTTGTTCTGACCCTTCGTCTTTCCATTCGTTTTCGCATTTCCAGAAGAGTCTCGTTTCGTTCCCCTTGCTGGTTCAAATCCGTTGGCTTTCGACTGCTGTGGGGCATTCAGCCCAATTTCTGACTTGCGTTTCTTGTCCTTCTTGCTCGGCGCATCCGCTACCTTCTCTGGTGTCTTTCCATTCGCGAGGCCTTGTTCAATCTTCGCTGTCAGTGCGGATAGAGCTTGATCGTCGAACGATACAACGTCGCCATCCACCTTGATCGCCCTCTTTGCGCCTTTGGCGGATTTCTTATCTCGTGGAGGCATCTTCCGGAATTTTGACGCTGCCACTCAATGGCCGTGGAAAGCTGGTTGAAGAAATGAAATTTTTCTGGCCCGATAAGATAAACAATTTTGGCGCTAAAACATCTCGGTAAAATGTGACAACCATGAGCACCTTTTATTTGGGAAGCTTCAGTAGTTGCTTGAAAGACACCGCGAATTGTTCCTTGTGCCGATGCCAATATGATGCCGATTCAATTGTTGTGAGCTGTGTTAGTTGATGAATTCAGTGGATCGACGAACGCAGATACCTGATGAATTGAACTCATCATGAGTCGTCCAGCAGTATCCCCCCTTTCCCGGACTATCAGTGGTAGGAAGGGACAGTTGTGGTCGCAAAGCCCTCAAATATACCCAGTATTGACATTTCCGAGAGCACGAAGATGCGGTCAAGCTCGTTATGTCTCTTCTGTTCCCCGAGTCCCTTCAGCACCTCAAAAGGTCCGTCGAAATGTCCATATTGGTAGTGTCACGTGAGTCGTTCTAACTTGCAGAAGCTTGATGATCGGGCTCGACTTTCAGCCCTATGGGCTCCAACTGGAGGAATAGCAGCAGCATCGAATGGTAAGAGTTGTAACTTCTGTGTCTATGGTAGATTATTAATATCTACTTAGATTCACACTCCCTACTGATTCGGGCGGGGTTTCTCCGTCAAGTTTGTCACCACATCCACAGCAGTGTTCCGGTACTAACCAGTCCTCTACTAGGCTCATTCGGGAATATTTCATATGCTCCCTTTGGGGAGGCGAGTTCAAGATAAATTGGAAAAACTGATAGATAAATACATGGCGAAACTTGGTCAGGGCAAATATCCCTTTCCATCATTCTTCAAACTAACCAATGGCAGGCTCCTCGAAAGTAGATTTATCATCAATATCTTCCGAAAAATTATGGGAACGAAGTGGGCGGCTAGGTTCAGTGGGCTCAGAAGTATGCCATTTATTTTCTACGCGAGGTCATGTTAATAATTTGCTAGCTTTTCCGCTTCAAAGATAGAAAGGAAGCAGGATATCTTCTCTCGCCAACGCACGAGGAAGAAATTACGTCCTTGGTGGCCAGTTCCGTAAAATCATACAAAGAACTTCCTATTCGTTTATACCAGATCTGTAGGTGCTCAACTCTACGCTCAAGTCTTGGACTAACACTTCCAGCTCGGAAATACCGCGATGAACTGAGACCCAGGCACGGCTTATTACGCTCTCGCGAATTTATCATGAAAGATCTTTATACATTCGATTCAAGTGTACCCTTGGCGCTCTCCACGTACGAAGATGTCCGAAAAATGTACAGTGCTCTGTTTGATGAGCTGAAAATACCATATCTTGTTGCGGAAGCAGATTCTGGTGACATGGGCGGTAATCTGAGCCATGAGTTTCACTTTCCGACATCCAAAGGAGAGGACCATGTCATAAGCTGTGCTGGATGTGGTTATGTTGCAAATGAAGAATTGGCAGAAAGTCCGCCTGTTACATCAAGAAGTGGCTCCAAGGCGAAAGCCGCAGATGAACTCAATGAGGACGCAGAAGACATCAAGATCTGGCGAGGTATCTCTCGAGACAGAACCGTAATTATTAACGTCTGGTACCTTGGCCCTCAGCTTCTGACGGCGCGGTTCTGGCTGATGCACCTCAAGTCAACCTGCATGCTATTAAAGCTTTGTATTCGAAGCTGGACACTTCCATAGAAATTCCCCCATATCAGGAAATAGCAGGTGGTGCATCTCCACAAGCTCCCTCCAACATGCCAGAGATCAATAAAGCGACGAAATTAATCAACATCGTGGACGGAAGATTGTTTACGTCAAACAAAAGGCCCGAGGTTTTCAGTCATGCTGAGTATAATGGCTGGAACAATGGCGCAACTTCAGGGAAGCCCAACACGCCAGCTCTTGACGTTGAACTCGTTGCCAAAAATCCTTCATCAGGAGAGCGTTTGAATGTGCTTCGGATTCGTACTGGAGATGCGTGCCCCCGGTGTCCCGATGGAACCGTAAAGGTTCAGGAAGCTATTGAGCTTGGGCACACATTTCATCTGGGAACAAGATACAGCCAACCTCTAAATGCTAGCGTCATGGCACCTCTCGAGCTTATTAGAGGTAGAGACGAAGATTACGAAATTGCCGATGAGGGCAAAGCTTATGGGGCAAGTCGTCAAGTCGCGATGCAAATGGGTTGTCATGGTATCGGTGTCTCCAGAATGATTGGTGCAGTGGCGGATACTCTTGCCGATGAGAAAGGACTCAATTGGCCTCGGGTGATGGCACCATATGAGGTTGTTGTTGTGCCCACGGGGAACATGGACAACGCCGCGGTAGAAGTATATGATGAACTTGCAGCGTCGACTGATAGCATTTTCACCGACCTTGTTTTGGATGATCGATCAAACGCCTTTTCTTGGAAGATGCGAGATGCTGACTTGGTGGGATATCCTATTATAGTTGTGGTGGGCAAGAGATGGATGGATGAGAAGATGGTTGAGTTTCAATGCCGGCGGTTGAATGTTTGTGAACATATTCACATCGACGAGTTAGCCGCTCATGTCAATAATTGCCTCGCGCAACTGTAAGTTACTTTAAAGTACATATCTGTATGATAATAGAAGATCTCCGCGCCACAGTTTATTGCGTTTCGTCCACGACTGTGATGTATTTTTAATGCTGTCTTCTGTCCAAAAATTGCTGACTAGAGTCGCGGAAAATAGGGAATAATTTCGAATATCAGGAAACTTATCGAATATCGTCTTGCGAATTCCGAAACCTGCTTTCATCCAATGATGTTGGCTGACTAGTGTGCTACAACCTGTTTTTGAGCTCTGCAATGTTGACCAGAGCCGCGAAAAACAACGAATAATCTCTCAAAGTGAGAAACAGATCACATGCAATGTTTCCACTTTGAGAATTACTTTCATCCTATATTTTTGAGTCTCATAAACCGTTTTGAAATATAAAACATGGATATCCGAAAAAATAATAAAATCTGTTAAAGTGGCAAACGTATTATACACAAATTTCCCTTTTCGAATAATATTTCCACTCGATCTATGACTCTGGCTGACAGTTATGCCAAAGGCAATTTGGAAATGTACTAGACATCCGGAAATGACGAATAATCTCTCACAGTGACAAACGGATTCAATACAATCTTGCCTCTTCTAGCGTTGTTTTCATCCGATTGAAGCTAATTAAGTTCGCTACATCACGTTTTGGACCGAAAATAAACCCACGTCCTTCGGCTATAAAATCACGATAAGGTAGTAGGGACATTAATTATCCCTATAGATCAAGAAAAGATCAAAAGAATCATTCCAAACATCAAAAAATAAAAAATTGGAGACGCGGGGGAGAACCTCGGAGCGAAGCTGATCTGATTGGTGGACCCCCTTGCTTGGGAACGGTGATTTGCCCGGCATTGTGGCGTTTGCTAATTCATATATAATATCAAATAAGCATTTCTACTTCAACAAACAGGGGATGTATTTCAGTGGTAGAATGCATGCTTTGCATCAAGCAGCCTTTGAGGCTTGTTTCTGATCTGCATGAGGTCCGGGGTTCGATCCCCCGCGTCTCCAATTACTTTTATTCTTTTGATCTTCTTTGATCTCTTTACGATTAGAAGTTGTGGTGGTGGGTTTGTAATTTTTTGGCATGTCGGCATTTCCGAAGTGAGAAGCCGATTGCCGAGCGCACTTAGCCGCTTTCCGTGTGAGATCAGTAAGCCACTCACGTGCCACAGTTCCTCATCAACGCGACCGACCGCCAAAACATTTCAACCACATTCAGGGCAAGATGATATTGAGGAAAGCAAACATTCTGCCATTATGGCTTCTACTTTTGTCTCTTTTTGCATCTCGGGCCGTTGCATCTCGGGGAGATAGATTGCCAGAGTTTCGCCGTTGCGTCGAGGTACTTATCGTATGAAGAGACAGTTGACATTATGCTAATGATTCGAAGATCTGTGAAAAGGAGAATTGTGGTGATGGCCCTGGAGCAACAACAATTCGTACGTCTCTCCTCTCAGTACTACCGACTTTCTAACAGTCTGCAGCTCTCCTCCATCAACTCCTTCTTTGGGACTGTCCGGCAGAATGCGATTACACATGCCAACATATCGTTACTGATAAACGCGTTGCGGCTGGAGAACGTATAGAACAATTTCACGGGAAATGGCCTTTCTATAGATTCATGGGAATGCAAGAGCCTTTCTCGGTCTTCTTCTCCCTCCTCAACTTCCTCGCACATCAGAATGGACTATCCAAGATTACCTCAGCCATTCCTGCCTCATACCCTCTTCGAAAGTACTATATCATCTTCGCATACTTTGGAATGGTCAGTTGGGTCTTCAGTATGATCTTCCACACCAGAGATTTCAGGGCAACTGAACAATTGGACTACTTTGCTGCTGGCGCAAGCATCCTCTATGGCTTGTACTACGCCCCTATCCGTGTATTCCGAATGGATCAAGGCGGAAAGCGAACACAATCATTGCTTCGAGCTTGGACCTTACTCTGCATAGCAATGTATACAGCGCATGTTATATATTTGAAATGGTACGACTGGGATTACACATACAACATGACAGCCAATGTTGCTATTGGGCTGCTGCAAAACTCATTGTGGACTTGGTTCAGCATCATGAAATATAAGAATTCGGGACGTCTCTGGACTACGTGGCCTGGTGTGGTTGTTGCGTGGCTCCTGATGGCAATGGGTTTGGAGCTATTCGATTTCCCACCTGTTTGGGGGTGCTTGGATGCGCACAGTTTGTGGCACCTTGGGACGGTTGGCCCAACTATGATTTGGTACAAGTACGTCTCACCTTCTCTATGTTGTTGCGAACTGTGCTGATTTGATGATAGCTTCCTACTGAAAGATTCCCAGGATGACATGGCAGGACAACGGCTCAAGGCATGACTTGGAATGGATTGGACATGACGAAGATACCCAAGTAATAATGATAATTCACATCCTTTCTGTTGGCTAGCGCCCCACGTACGGGTGGTCATTCGGATAAACGCCGTGGTGCAATGAGAACTTTTACGCAGCTTTTCCTGGTATTGCCATTCAAAGCACCCAAATTCACACGTTAATTCTTCAGGTATTCGAGCTTCAATTTTGTCAGAAGCATCTGTACTATGGCATGCAGTATTCTTTAAGTTTTTGAAATCACCTTACATCCTTCGTATTTTGTATGAAGCAAGGCTCCATACAAACGTGCTTCTACCAAGCCTTGCTGCACTGTCTTTCCAAGCAAGATCCATGAAAACGTGCAGTTTTGACATCCAATTACAAGGCAATCGCAATGGAATCTACTAATAATCGACTCACAATGGAGATCGTGCACCATTCTCTATATTCGCGGTTGTCTCTTTTGTTGCACGTCGCTCCGCTTGAACATACCGGATTGGGAAAGGACTTGCACAAGTGGTGTGATGGATTACTTGAGAGGTATTTATTGACGTTTGAAAGGCCACAGAGGTACTAGGTCTCAGGATTGCCTAAGGCATTTGCCTGTTGAGTTTGAGCGCTAGATTGAGGAAGGCATGCGCGATGAGTTTCAATGATGGGGTTTGAGAAGCCTGCGGGCACGCTTGTTGTAAGTTTACTCGTCAAAATGACTTGTCCCAATTGTCGTCTTTCGTAGCTTTCTACATCCTGAATATTCTTAACTAGTAGTTACTATAGCTTCTTCATTTGATGCCAGGCAGACACTGTTTGTGGTGGCGGGCCCCTTTATTTACCTCATCGTTCGCCGATAATTTTAGTCTGCAGAAACCACAGAACGTATTGAAGCTCTTGCTTATCCACAACTGTAGCCTGCAGAGACAACTGAATGGGGTTGCGGATTCGACTGTTGTATGAGCCTCAGAGATGGAGGGAGAGGATTGACTCCTCAACGAATCTGAGGCCTCAAGATCTCCTCGTTTGTCCACACGTTTTTCTGTCAGCTGAATCCACCTTTCAACGAGCGATGTCTTCCATGGCACCTTCGTGATAAACAGCCATGAGGCGAAGACTTAACACAGTGAGGGGCATAGCCGTGGCCCAGAAGTACTTAAGTCCAGGCTTCATAACCGGCTCCCCATTATCATTCCAATTGAAGACAGGCATTGCGAACACAGCCTAAACTAGGTTAACTGAACGTTACAAAATGGGGTAGGGAAATTTCTCACTGCAACGAAAGTACCTGGGAGGAAAACCATTCCGAGAATTGCGACGGTCTTCATGGCGGTGCTGTCTTTCTTGCTCTCGAGTGCGATCTGTCTCATTACTGCTGAGTCTTCTTTGCTGGCTTTGCCAATGTGGCAGATGTTTGTGCTAGCTAAATGTTGACTTTAGTGTCTTTTTGCGTCATGAATTGGTATGCCTGTTAGGTTAACTTGGGCTATCCACCTGACGAGGGAACATACTGTAGCAAGTGCTGTTGCAAGACTTTCTGACTCGAAAGCCGCATATCCCTTCAGCCGCTGCAATATTCTCGCTGTACTCACCAAAATTCCTGACATAGACCCGTCTAACGAAACGCTGCCTATGCTGGAATTGACCTCGTTCGCTTGAGAAACGAACTCGGATGTGAATTGCTCAATGACGCTCATCGCTCCTTCCACTGCACTAAGATAAAACTTTGCCCAGGTGTTGTTTCTACTAGCCCTATTCAAATGCGTTGCAACATCTAGAAAAACTATGTTCATGAGACCATTCTCACTTAGCTTCTCTACACCTCCGATTTGTTTTGTTGTGGTCTGAACCAGTAAGACATCGCGATGCGCGAAGGAAAGGTAGGTGGCAACATAGTTCATCAAAGTATTGAGTACAAATACCACGAGCTTAAGTGGATTTTCGTGGAAGTTTTTTGATTGCTTGAAACGTTGTAGTATTTCGAAGGAGCAAAGTTGAACAGGTGGACCACAAGGCGCACCATTCAGATGACGTTCCAGTGCGCAATCCGTCATCAAAACTACGTTAGTGAAGTTGGAAGTAGTATTGTACGCTATCAAAATCTGCCATTTTGGTACTCTGAATCGACAACCTATAATTGTTAGCGATAGTCTTTCTCGATGTCAAGCATGGTAGTAGCACATTGAAGAATTGAACCATGGAATGTAACCAGTAATTGTGTAGTGGAACTGTCCAATGTATCCACCAAAAGCCTTGCAACCATTGACTAGGAATTTCAAGGCGCATGTGGAGAAGGGAGAGTGCTGTCTTGGATATCCGGGCAGGTGAATCCAGTGGCCTCCTTCTCCTAGCTATACTTGTCTAAATATCAGATATTTGGAAGTCTTGCATGGATCCCCTCTTGCTTTACAAAATACTTAGACCACTGGTGGGTGATTTCTGGCTATCCTCATTCCGATTTGTTGATAGGGAGGGCGGGCTTCCATTGCTTTCGCCACACTCGTTATGCAAAGACCGTTTTTTGTCCTATGAAGAAGAATCAGGCAAAGCCCTATATCACAAGGCAGATAGATGGTCGATGCGACCTGTTCTCGAAGTAGGGATTGTTACTTTTCAAAGCCATTCGTCCAGAGTGGCATCATTGAGAAAACCCTCAGTGGTCACGACTTGCGGCATACTAGTATATTCGAAAGCTTCAAAATCCCGGTACCCTAATTCAGTCTTAATCTGCGTTCCGTCCATTTTGAAGTTAGGTTGGCTCTGTATCAAATATAGAGAGTAAAGTTGGCTTTCGAAGCTAATTGACGACTGATGTCTGAGGCTGAATTTACTGGTGAGATTTACTTCGCAATTAAATCTTTTCCCGATTTCCTAGGGAATTGTAGAACAACACAAGACACTTCAGGTTGACCGCCATCTGCTAATTCTGTGAATTTAAAGACATGGTCAAATTTCTTATAAATTAACCTGTAACGCCATGATGAAGACACAGTCAAACTTTCACAGAATGAAATGCAGAGCTGAAGTGAAGGAATAATCGCTTTACAATTATCCGGAAATCGTCTGTTACAAGAGAATCAAAGTTGCGTCTTGGAATCTTGGGAGGCATGGTGAAGTGGAATGAATGGTTGAAACGAGGTAGAAGCAAAGTCCCTATGCCCAAGCCTTAGTGGAACGATTGATACATATACTTCTTGAGATGTACAAAAGTTCAAGTGCAAAACCTTTTATATCATTGTGTGGCTTAGAAATAAAAAGGAAGAGCCTCACGGAGCCCAGAGCGCATCCGAATATAGCCTAGTGCCCCGGGTCAATGTTTACCCGCCATTGGTAGGGTGATAATGAGGGCAAAGAGAAGCTCGTTGCCAACCATCGCGAAACCACCATGTTTACCGGAATCGTTGAAACAATAGGAGGTCAGCATAACTAATATTTGAAATTCTGAGATTAAGCTACTGACAATTTCTAGTCGTCTCCGAACTCAACCACCAGGCTGAAGATGGCGGCACCAACCTCACCATCTCCAATGCCTCCGAAATCCTGAGTGATTGTCACCTTGGTGACAGCATCAGCGTTAATGGTACCTGCCTAACCGTTACCTGGTTCGATAAATCCTCGTTCAAAGTTGGCGTCGCGCCTGAGACATTACGACGAACGAATCTAGGCTCTCTGA